ACTGTGGCGTTCACCCCGAGGTACTCGTCCCTCCATGTGTTCTCAGAGAGGTTGCCGGACAGAAAGCCAACCAGCCCATCCGTGATCTTAACATCAGTAGTGCTGCAGGCATCTTCAGGTGAGGCACTCTCCACATCACTCTCAGAAGGGCACAGCTCGGAGACAAGGTCGTCCACTTTCTTCCACGTCGCCAGCACATCCTTCACACGCTGCAGCTGCTCAGTCAGAAGCACAGAGACCATACTGGGTGATGATTCCTCACCGTCCTTCTTCTTTTCGTACAGTGCAATCAACTCCTTCTTATCTCCACTTCCATCACTTTTGTACAACAGGGAGCTGGCGGCAGCGTCATCACCTGATACCGGCCCAATATCAACAATGTGCGTATTGTCCGTCAGCCAAAGATGGAGTTCACTCTTTCCATTGCCCGCTTCTTTTTTATCAGCCTTCTCGGGATACACCGGCAGAGTGACGAGCATCACATTTCTCTTATCATCAACATCGTCAATCGTCGCTGTGATGAACCCGCTTCTAACGCCACCTTCGCCCTGTTTGTTGCCCCACACGCGCGAGAGTGTCCCGAGTGCCTCCGTCCACGACTCCCCCTTGTCACCGGACTCGTACACCCTGCGGCAGCCATCACCACACGCAGTCAACATGATGAGTTTTTTGTCCTCCCACTCCACGACGGAGGGATCACTGCAGCCACCGTCAGACATCCCCTTCGACAGCGTCCAACTATTAGTATCCTTCAAGGAGTGGATGATCAGCGATACGGTCTTTTCATCCTCTTCAGTGCCAACCTGGTTCGTCGTCTTTTTCCTCGTGCCTTCCACTGGGAACACAAGCGTACCGTCCTCCATCTTAACACCCGATCCACCGCTGCCAACCAGCAGCGCCAAGGATTCATTTTTTTTGTTATAATTCCACGGGATAGCGTAAGTATCATTCCAAAAGATTCTTTTTTGACTTTTTTCATTACTGACGTTCCCTTTCACCAGCACGAGTCCCCAGTCGCCTGCATCAGCTCCCTGAACACCAGCGGCAAGTGTCCAACTGTAATTCCCAGCAAGCATGTAAATATCACTTCCCTTCACAACTGTTGTTGGTCGGCTCAAAAGTACTCTCGTCTGGGTTTTGGAATCATCCTGACCCGCTATATGGCAGCCGCTTTTCTTATCAAATGCACATTCCTCCAGTACTTGTGTCTTTACTGCATTTTTATCCAATTCTTTTGATTCTTCATCACTCAATGTCAGGACCTCCGAGGCAATTCCAGTAAATGCTTTCTCACCGCCATCCTTGCACGGCGCCTCGGCAACAGCAAACACATCACCTTTCACCTCAACAAGACTGGGAACACGGAGGTAAACCACTGTTTCTTCACCTTTCTTATCTCTCCAAACAAAATATGTCTTCGGTAAAGATCTCGGATCTGGCGCCGTCTTAATAGTTTGCTGAGCCCCACCAGCGTTGCAGCACATCATCGCAACAAGAAGAAGCAGCAGCACCGCAGAGTAGAAGAGATGCCGGGACATGTTGGGCCTCTGCGGCTCACTCTCTCTTCCTTCCCTCCTCCTTCCGCTGGATCCGGTCACGCAGCGACGGTTTTGTGTGCGGGGTGCCTTCACTGCAGCAACACGTGAGAACATATAAATTTATGTGTGTGTGGGCGGTGTGTACGCTGTTGGTCCTTTCAGTGCCTTCGAATATCACAGCAGCGATTAGCGATTGTTTGCTTTCTTCGTGTGTGAGAAAGAGAAGAGGAAAGGGGAGTGAAACAGTGAGCACCGCCGCCCATCCACAGTGAGTGGCATCATCATCCCCACTGCAGTCACTCCCAACAACAACAGCTCACGCACACAGACACACGGAATGAGAAGGAAGAACAGTGCACCGATAACACACAGCGACTGCCACCAGCAGTAAAAGCCACAGCGGGTATCTTGCGCCTCCGCCACGCGTCAGCGCACACCGAGTAACGCCCACACACGCTGCCGTCAGTCGTTTTACTGTTGTCTCTCCCCGCACCCTCCACCGCACATCGCCCCGCACAGCCGGAGAATCCTCCGTCGCTGTATCAACAGCGGGAGGAACACGTCGGCACGTGCAGCTGCCGGGTGAGAATCGGCACTCCTCCCAGGCACCCTTAATGTCACACCACATTCGTCAACTGCTGCACGCCACGAAAATCACGCCCTTAGCACAGAAACAAAACAAATCGCGGTCTCCGTCATCCCTCCTCTCAAGGGCCACAGAAAAATTGTGTGCGTGCGTCCTCAGCGTTCACGCCGCTCCATACCGTGTGTGACATAGCGTGTGTGTGCGTTTGGCAGCGCCTATACTTGCAGAGCAGCTGTGCGCCACAAGAGAGTCTGAAGAAAGCAACGGCAGAGAGAGGCAGATAGCACACACGCAAATTACTCATATCATCACACACACACACACGCAGCCGCGGAATGGGTGCACTCAACCACAACACAATGAAAAACAAAACAAAAAGCCGAAGCGTGGGACGACCAGCGCACACACACTCTCATTACTCCCGTAAAGCAAAACACACACACAGAGGGAGAGAGAGAGAGGTCGCCCACTCAATGCAATAAAAACAAAACAGAAACAGTTACGGTGCTCCGTCCATGCAGCCAGGCAGGACGGCAGCGGTGCGTGTCGTGCAAAAGAGAGCACCAACGGGCCTGCATGGGTGTGCATGCATATATACAATGGGCACATTATTATGTGTGCCTCGTGGGGTGAGGTGAGGGCGAGAGTCCATGCAAGGGGACACACACACAGAGAGAAGGACGAGTGTGTGTGCGGGCGGTGCACGGCTCTCTCTCCCTCACTCTCACGCGGCCACCACCGCAGCCGCAGCCGCACACGCAACAACAAGAAGAAGAAGCAAAAGAGGGGAGGTGTGGGAGACCGCGGTGCTGCCGTCGCTGTTGCCAGTCGTAGCCGTTGTAGTTTTCATGGCTGCGGCCGTCACTGGTGTTTCTTTCGGATTGGCATCTTTATTTTCATTTTGTTTTCCCTCTGCTGTCCCTGCACCATCAGCTGCTGGATCACCGTCTCCAGTTGTTTGGGTGCTGTTGGGATTTGTTATATTCGATGCTCCCTCCGCAGCAGAAGATAAACTCGGCTGCTCTTGACCGCCTGCTGAGATCCCCCCTGTGATGCTGGTAACAGTTTCTTCTTCTTTCTTTGTCTCCTCCTTTTCTTTCGTATCATCCCCTTCCTCTTCCTCTTCCTCATTTTTACCTTCTGTATTTTGAACCATGCTGTCCGTCGTTGGACTTGCCGCTTTTGATGCTCCTCCGGGTTGTTGTGGCTGTAATGAGTTAGCTGGCTTTTCCGGTAATTCTGACGCCTTTGGTGTGGGTTCTTTAGGCGCTACCGGTTTACTGCTTTGGTCAACATCTCCAGCGACAACCTCTTCTTTCTTTTGAGTGCTCTTTTCGGGCTGAGTTCCAGAGAAGGTGAAGAAGGGTTTCAGCTCGTCCACC